CACGGCCCTGCTGACACCTTAATTGACTCCTGGCCTCCAAAACCACGACAGAATAAATTCTCATTGTTTTAAGCCAGCCAGTTTGTAGTAATTTATTACAACAGCCTTAGGAAACTAATACAGTAGTTGTTCTCATGATTTCAAAATTAAATGCATAAATATTCACTCCACACAAAGTATGGTTAAGAAAGTAAAATTGCCCATTGGTTTTCCATCAAATTGAAATAAGACAAAACATTTATAAAAGTGTTCCACAAGCTTTAAGAACACATCATTTTTAATTCAACCAATTTTTAATTATTAAGGGCCTATTCCCTACGTCCTGCCTTGTGGTAGGCCCTGTGAAAAATAGAAAATATTGAGTATTTACTCTTTTTTTTGCTGAGGAAGACCAGCTCTGAGCTAACATCTATTGCCAATCCTCCTCCTTTTTTTCCCCCCAAAGCCCCAGTAGATAGTTGTACGTCATAGCTGCACATCCTTCTAGTTGCTGTATGTGGGACGCAGCCTCAGCATGGCCGGAGAAGCGCTGTGTCAGTGCGCGCCCAGGATCCAAACCAGGGCCGCCAGTAGCGGAGCACGCGCACTTAACCGCTAAGCCACGGGGCCGGCCCCGAGTATTTACTCTTAAAGCAACTATTAATCATGAACAAAATATTGAGTAAGATGATCATTTTCAGGTAGTCTATCAAAATAATAGTCTGAATTTTAAAGAAAGACATTAAAGTGAGGGAAGAAGGTAAACGTATTTTGGAAAATGTCAACGAATTACTAAACTCTGGAATCAGGTCAATAGCCTTTGGCAGAGAGTAGCTAGTCAATAAACATTTAATGAATTAGTTAATTTTTAATTAAAACTATATCAGGATTATTAATGTTTATACCTTTTGAGTCTTAGTATTCATGGTTCTAAATAATAAGTCTGCACATCCAATTAATCTATAACTATGTTAACTCAAAATACTTCAAATCAGTGAGTTAAATGCATATGTCCATTCAGGAATCAGATCATTTATTTGGCAAATATTTACTGGGCACTGTTACAGGCAAGGAGTGAGGTATGGTTGAATGGATTCAACAATGAACAAGGAAGGCATGATCCTGGCCTTCCCAGAGCCGCAGTTAGGCAACAAGAGATGGATATTACACAAAGATTAAGTGGAATTGTGACCTGGATGACAACGCAGAACAGAGGGCACCTAATGGAGACCAATCTCATCTTCGCTAGGGACAAAGGCCAGAGGGCCAGGAAGGCTTCTTTTAGAGAATTTCTATTTGTGATTGAAGGACGAGTAGGAATTTAACAGAAAACAACAACGCAGGTACAAAGAGAGTCTGAAGAAGAGAAAAGGCCAGCAAGTAGGGGCCTGGAGCACTGAAGGGCACAGCCCAACACAGCCACAGAGGACCGCAGCGAAGCACGGTGAGGGCTCACCAGGCACAGTACCTCCCGGAAAGATGTGGGAGCTGACCCCAGAGTCCAAACTACATGATTTTTAAAAATGGGAGTGCCAGATTAAGAGGGCAAACTAAAAACCCACATAATTTTACCTCTTCCTAAACTCTAACCAAAACTACAGTAAAGAGGGTAAAAAAAAAAAAAAACACAACACAAACCCACTAGACAGGAACAAAGGTATAGAAGTTAAAATGCAGGGGAATAACTTATTTAACGTATTCAACAGAGCCAAATCCCAAGATTTTGGCAGAAAAGCTGAGAATTAACCCATTAAGACTGCAGATATTCAGGAGACTCAGAAAGGTAACGACAGGTATGTCTGAAACGAGGGTGAAAGGGAGCAGATGAAATAAGAGGTGGGGGCACTGTTCAGGAAGCTGTCAGACCCCTAGGCATCCTCTCCTACCCACCCTACAAGACAAGCTGTCCTCCCCCATCTCCTCTGAAGAGGATGAAACAGACTGTGCCCGGTCTGTGGGTGTGGGCATGTACGTACTCAGTGCTCAAACCCTGGGCCCTCTTCCTGCCACACAGCTCCTAGAACACCGGCAGCTGGACCTTGAACTCCAGTTGAAAAATGCCCCCTAGGAAATCAGCTAAAGAGGAAAAACCACCGTAGAAAGAAGTAGCCCCCCAAGGAGACCTACACTGATCAACCCTGCCCTCAGCTCTCTAATCGCCCCCCTACTCAAGAGCACAGTCAAATATTTTCAGATATCTAAGGAAAGCTTCTGATAAGACAGAAACCAAAAAGCAATATGGAGGAAATAAATTATTTAGCGAGAAAAAACTCTAAAACAATCAATAATTTCAATGAGATAAACTCATGCATCCATGCCACAAGAACAGGAGGCTATAAACAGAGCATTCAGAGAAAAAACACCCAACAAGTGCTCGTGAAAACATGACAGCACAAATAAGTTGAGAAAACTTCTGATGGTGGAGCGAACAGACCAGGAAACGAAAAATAGAACTGAGAACAAAAAAAATTAAAAAGCCAGTCCAAGAGTACCATATCCACATAGTCACAGATGAAGAAAGTAAAAGAGAGGAGAGAGAGGTGGAAGACACCATTTAAAAAGAAATATCCCCAAATAAAGGCATTGAGTTGCAGACATCCAAAACACCCAGTATTCTGGATGAAAACAGACGCCCACGAAGGCATACCATTGTGAAATTTCAGAACAGTGGAGAAAAAGAATATAAGATTCCAGAGAAAGTGAGGAAAAGTGGAGCAATACCTCCAAATTTTTGATAAGAGTGATAGCTAACCTAGAATTCTATAGCCAAACAAATTATCAGCAAAACACACAGACAGAATAAGGACATTTTCAGTCACTCAAGGTGAGAAGAAACACTGCCACCAGTAAGATGGCTTGTCACATTTTATCATCTCTGGAACCCGAGGACAGATTGCCAGAGTCTGGAAGACAAGACTGTAAACAACATCTGGCTCACTGTGACCGTCTTCTGAAGAAGTCCCCGGGCTCTGCTCTAGGCTCAGCCGCCTGGAGCAGATGAGAATATTCAATTCACTTAGGCCTGTTCTGGAACTAGAGTAAGCCACAAAAGCAGAAATCGTAAACCAGCTGATTCTTGTGCGTATTTCTAAGGGATGTCCAGTACCTGGAGTTCACGCTACAACTTTGGCAGATGCCCTGACTATGATAAACCCTGATTTTCTTTAGATTAGCTCACGACTTTGCCTACTCAATTCTCTTGTAAACTCTTGAGGAAAAGTGCGGTTAGTTTACCACCCCGACACCATTCAGCTATCTTCCCCTCTGAAGAGCCAGAAAACAGCCTCCCCTGGAACAATCAGGGCTGTGCTTGCTTCTTCTTTTGTCAAAAGCAAACAATATAACGTTTAGGAAAACATACACAGGTAGTAACGCTACACTGAGAGGCAAGGGAATGATTAACACAAAAGTTAGGGTGCTGGTTACCCCAGCAGAGCCTGGAGAGAGGATAAGGAAGGACAGGTGGGGGCTTCTCATGGACGGGCAGCTGCCCGGGTCCAGACTGGAGGGGGGTGTTTGTATTTTCATTATGTTAGTCTTTGAACTCACACGTGTATAATATATTTCAAAACAAAATTTACTTTTTCAAGGATGACGGACATGGTCAGATTCGTACATTTAAAATATTACTAGGGCCACTGTGAAGAGGAGAGAAAGGATGTCAGTTGTAGAGGTCGAGGGATGGGGCTGGACCGGATGGGGAACAGGCAGCGGAGCCAGAGAGGTTACGAAAGAGTAAATGCTGTTTGTCTTCATTATTATCATCATTATTTTTTGCAAGGGGAGGATATTGTTAGGAAAGGAAAGGAGGGAAGGAGGGAGGAAGAGAGGGAGAGAAAGAAGGAAGGAAGGAAGGAAGAAGGAAGGAAGGAAGGATGGAAGGGAGGAAAGGAGGAAGGGAGGGAGGAAAGGAGGGAGGGAAAGAAAAGAGAGGAAAGAGAAGTATTTGGTCAGTTAGCAAAAAAAGAAAAAATGCCCAAGATAATGTTTCATTGTCAGTAATTATTATTGCTAACAGCTTATTATATTTATACTGTTCTTCTCGTACAGGAAGCTCAAAATACTATAAAAGTGATCATTCAATTAAACTTCAGAACATAACTCCATGACTAGTTTCAGAAGAGGTCTTTCTGAGTCCAATTTTACACACGAGGAAAGTGCTGAACAACAACGCTCACGATTGGCTGTGACGGGTTAAAATTCTGAGTGAGGACTTCTTTAGGGGAAATAAAATTCAGGAAGCCAACGCCCAGCCCCAGCCTCAAACCCATGCTGCGTGTGGCACCTCAACACCATTTTAATTTCATTTTCCACATGCAACTTGTACGGCGCTGCAGAAACGTGCACTCTCGTAACGGAAAAGCAAGTTTATGCCGGTCTACTACAACCACACTTAGAACTGTCCAAGGAAATGAACAGATTCGAGTTCCAAATAAGAAGAGCCTGTTTTATGATTTCCTCTGACCTGAAAGCATCATTCCTGCCCAGAACTTAATACTCTATTTCATATACGTTTTAAGCATAGTTTTAGTAGTGTTAAGAACCTGGCAAACCGTTCCAGTTGTGGTATGTTGCTTTTGCCCTTGTATTAGTACCTAAAAGAAGGCCTAATTCCCAGTACAGACTCAGTATAAGCTTCCTGAGTCAATGAGAAAATTCAATCATCAAGAGAAGCATCATTTTTACCAAAAAAAATACCAAAATTAGACTTGCTCTATTTTCTTTTGTTTCTTTGGTATGGAGTAAGAGGGTGAAAATGAGATTTCTATAACATACATTATGGACAAAAACAGTAAACCTGAAAAATTTGACTTCAGATCTTCATTCCTGGACCTTGTGATACGGGTATTTGTGAAGATTACAAAACACAGCAAAACGGAACAGATAATGTTTTAAACACTTAAAATGGAACCTGGCCAAGAAGGCAGCTTTTTAAATAGCGGGAAATGATTTGATATAGGAAACTAAACACAGTTGATTCTTGAGAAGAGCAGACAAATTGCTATGAATGGATATCTTACCTTAAAGACTTCCATTGGAAGAGGAAACTTGGCAGCATCAATAATGGATTTTTCCAGAGCACATTTCCATTCAGAGGCCATCTTCAAAGGATAGATTTCTGTATCAACAGCAAAGCATATAAGAGTTTAAGGGCTAAAATGTTCTACTGGGTGGTTCTTTCTTGAATTTTATCTTCCCAGGATTTCATAATAACTTGGCACACTCGGCAACCCTAAGAATTCACACACTACCCGCCATAAAAGGTCACCTGCTAAAGGGATTTTCTGACGCTAAATAGCAACTTGGGATTCTGTTATCAGAAATGAAGAATCAACTTAATAGAGTTCTTCTTCAGGGAACATTTGCATGCATTCTGCTGGCATTTTGTAAGTAATTTAATGGTATAAATCACATTAGCAACATTTTCAGTCATCCACTGCCCCAAATTCCATATATTACCTGGGAAGTAATATCCACTGATGAAGAACTTATTACCTGATAAATTTCTAAGCGAGACACCACTCTTGTTTGGCATTTTCAGTGATCACAGCATATTTTTCACTAAATCTCTAAGCTCTCATATGCTAAAAATAGCCCACGTAAGTCAGAAAATTATTAAAAGGTAAATTAAAATTTACCAACCAAGTTCAATATTTACACTTGAAATGTTGCGAACACACCACATGTTGCCTATATTTTTCCCCAGGCGGTGGGGGAAGAGGGATCTATGAATGGGAGTTCTAACATCTGAATACAAAATGGAAAGAAAAAATTTGTTGAGCACTGTTTTTACCAATTGTTGAAACTGCAGGAGAATTTTACGATCTGATTTCAACAGATTTAAGACCTTGTCAAAGAGGATTTGCAGAAGCACTCACTGAAGTAGATATGTTTATACCCTCCCTATATCAACCCAGGTGACTTCAGACAGACAGAGAAGATATGAATATGAATTTAAGCACCGTTAAAAAGGCAACACTAAACCTTTGGGGCTATATTTTTAATTTCTTGCATGTCTGCTTTTTAGCATGCAGCAGTATATTTTGATGCTCATAGCTTCTGGACTCACCTTGAGCTTGAAGCCCCTGTGTCTTAGCAGTTTATTTAGTCTTTTCCGACCATTATAATTATGGTAGGCGAAAGATGCTCCTGGAAGGAGCCAAGTTATCAACGCTCTGCCCACTGTCACTCATTGTCAATTACACAAAGTCACATACAGAGTTATGAATGACAAAAGAGTGTCATAACCCTTGTGCATATTGTCTATAATCTTTTCTAGCATTTCATTTATACTCTTCTACCTCTGGGGAATTTTTTTTTTTTCCAACTTGGCATTTCTAGGTGTCAGAACAAAAACAGAATGTGATTGTTCTCAGTATTAACTAATATATTTGGGGGAACATGGCAGGGCCCCAATAAACACCTCTGCAGAGATGGAATGAATGGTTCCCCCAACCTCCACAGGTGAGAAAAGGGTGCTGAGGGAGAGATCGCTTATCACAGGGTCCTAGTTCCCGGAGCCCTATACATTGTCCCATGAGGGTGACATGGTGTCCCTGGAACGCACAGTGGCCCAGGTGGGGGCACCGCATCCACACCTCAGTGAAGGAGGAGACAGTTCAGAGCACTCTAGGAGGCAAGGCTCAGAGGACTCCAACTGCAACAGTTCAAGAGGGGGCAGGGGGCAGACAACACACGAGAGCCTAGACCACCCGAGTAGACAAGAACAGGGTCACTTTTCCAGGGGTCTGGAAGCAGGTCGATAGGGACCTGCTTGGTGGTAAAAGGAGAACCGACTCACGAGAAAGGATGGCAACTTCCCAAACAAGATCAAAGGAAGGTCTGCAGACATAAAGGGGGAGGAAAAAGGAAGAAAAGGCCCACTGGGTTGGTGCCCTGAGCTCCCACAGTCTGTAACTGAGGCCTCTAGGGGTGAGGTGAGGGACCCTGAGACAGAGAAGAGGGTGAAAGAGTGGTTTAAAAGAAAGCTACTCTATGCCAGAGCAGTGAAAACCCAACATGACCACGGTTAGATCCAAACCACCAGAACTGAGCGAGGTGCGTGCATACCCCAGCAGGGGCGCTCACAGTCCTACCAGACCCGTGTTCACACACACTGCCAGAGTGGGGCTGAGCCCTCAGTCCACCTCATGCCATCTCTCTCCCACCAAAACAGAGACGAATGTAACAAGAAGCCCAGTGCAATGGACTGAAGGTTGGTGTCCCCCCCAAATTCATATGTTGAATCTTAACCCTTAGCTAATATGATGGTATTAGGAGGTCGGGCCTTTGGGAAGTGATTAGGTCATGAGGACGGAGTTCTCACGAGTGGGATTAGTGCCCTTATAAAAGAGACCCCAGGGAGCCCCCTCACCCCTCCCACCATGTGAGGACACAGTGAGAAGATGGCCGTCTATGAACCAGGAAGCAGGCCCTCAACAGACACCAAGTCTGCTGACATCTTGATCTGGAGACTTCCAGCCTCCACAACTGTTGAGAAATACATGTCTGTTGTTTGTAAGCCGTCCAGTCTGCGATATTCTGTTATAGCAGCCCAAACAGATTAAGACATCCAAGTTCCAGGTGATTTTTGTCCCTGTCCTTCCATCCTAAGATTCTTTGTCTTCTTTCTGAGGATATTAAATCCTGATATGGAATTTAACCCCACAGCAAGGCATCCTTCTTTTCTTAAAAGGTGAACTCAGGGCAGGCCTGGTGGCACAGTGGTTAAGCTCGTGCGCTCCGCTTCGGCAGCCTGGGGGTTTGCAGGTTCGGACCCCGGGGCACGCACCGACACACTGCTTGTCAAGCCATGCTGTGGCAGTGTCCCATATAAAGTAGAGGAAGATGGGCACGGATGT